GTAAGGGGTCTGGCTCCAAATAGGACCAGGTGTCGAAAACAGATTTGTTGGTGGCCAGTGGCCAGCTGTAAAACACAAAGGGATACAAATCGAATGTGTTCCCCACCATCTACTGCACACAGTGCCCGACACCAACCTTGCCTCAGCTGGACCCAGATGCATGACACTGAGTTTGAAGTTGGTCAAGGGGTCCTGCTGCAACAAGCCCGAAGGTCTAGTTGAGCTTCCCCCCCGAAGGTCTAGTTGGTCAGTGTGAGTTTCAGATGGACTCTTCCGACCCATTTCACACCTTCGGCTTGCTTGCATGTTTGACGTGGGGTCCCCTAAGCCTCAAAAATCATGAGCTCAGTTGCACGAAATTGGACAACGGAGCGCAGATTGGAGATTGGAAAGGCTTGGTGTTGAGCTGCTCATTTTGGCTCGTGGCAGCCATATGCAACCATAGCCCCATCCAAATGGAATGGCAGAGCATGCGATGTTGAGAACAGAGCAGTCATTTTTCCGATCTCTGCGCTTAATACCACTGGGGAGAGATTGAAGTGAGGATAAGTGAGGCCTGTGGCGTGAAACAAAGGATGTAGTGAAACCAAGATCTCGAAGATCTCGACTACGCTTCCCTCCACAACTCCCAATTGGTTCGCTAGCGTTGAGGTTTTCTTGCGAATGGCCAATCCCCCACTTTTCGACATCAGCGCTATGGGTTGTTTTGAAACAACGGCAGGACGACAGGTGAAGAACTTGATTTGGGGCGCGTTAGAACCTGAGGACATTCCAGGCTTCGCTCCAGGTCAAGATGTGATCTCATGCGCTTTTGTAGACTCGATTCAGTTCGATTCTGTGTGCATTTGACACCCGGCCACCTGCCTGAATGTAGGAGCGCTTGCGCAACAGACGAACCGGTAAAAGTAAGATGGGGGAGACTTGGCGCATGTTGCAGGCAATGTACTTTAGGAGTTGGGTTTACATTCTGCCACCCAGATGTTCATCGCTGCCAATCAGGTTCGAATGCGTGCAAGATATTGCGCATTCTCAGATGGGACAGTTAGCTGCTCATGCCACGATTTGCTTCAAGAAGCAGGTCTCGGGTTTCTCCAGTCTTTCATGATGAACAGCATGGCACATGGTGTAACGAGGTCAGCGCAACAGTTGTCTTTCAAACACTGAAGGACTGAGACGAAGGACATGGTGGATCGAAACCGAACCTGAAGCACGGGATGCAGTGAATGGCCAGAGACCTCAGCTTTCGTGCGATTGGAGAAACATGTGATGAGCAGACCTCTTGACTCTTGAAACCTGGAAGAACCTGAGCTTTCTTTAACATGGCTGGAAGCGCTCGCTCGGTCTAGGCTACTGACAATGACTGCATTGCTAGTTCTACCCCCAGCGATGGCCGCCAACCTACTAGCGATGGCCTCCAACCTAGTAACGATGGCCTCCAACCCAGTAGTGATATTCATAATATGCCTCCAACCTAGTAACGATGGCCTCCAGCCTACTGGCGATGGCCTCCAACCTACTAGCGATGGCCTCCCACCTACTAGCGATGGCTTCCCACCCACTAGTGATGGCCTCCGACCTACTAGCGATTGCCTCCACCCGGCTATTATAGCGATGGCCTCCAATGTACTAGCGATCTGTCACTGCCATAGCCAGTTCTCTACCGGGTGCGAAGCTGCGCCAAAGGCCTTGGTGCGAAGCTTTGGGCTACTGGTTTTCTTGGGCCTGGCTGCCTTGCTCTTCTCTTTGCACTTTGCTGGGGCCCAAGCCGCTCAAACCGGCAGAGGCTGCGCAGGCGTTCATGCCATAAGGCTTCAAGGCTCAAAAGATTTCAGACTTGGACAACCGGCATGGGGAGCGAGAGAGAGAGAGAGACAGGGACAGACAGACCGACAGACCGACAGACCCACAGACCCACAGACAGACAGACGGACGGACCGACCGACCGACCGACAGACAGACAGACTCTTCAGAGCGAGATGTTCTTTGATTTCATGTGAGGAGTTGCTTCTTTCATCCGCTTCTCCGCTGTTTTCAGTTCAGTTCGATGTAGATGGACGTTTCAGTGCTGTGTGCGCTCCTCTGTGAGCATGGCTTGGTGGTGGCTATGGCATTTGCAATTGCTTGCTGTGGTAGAAGGAGTTGTCACCGGGACCATATCGTTCCGTGGTTGATAAAGGAGTGTTCTGGTTTTGATTGTCCAAGCTTTTGGCGTCCTGCCACATTTTGAAGCCGCACCTTGAACGGCTCAGGTTTGTACAAAACAGCATGACCTTCCCGGAGTCAGAGGAGTTTGCGCACTTCATGGTCCTCAGAAGTGGGGGTTTTGATGGAAACATAACTGTGACATATCAGATTCTGCCGGGCACCAATGCATCCTCTGTCGACTACTTTCTTCTTGATGATCCGACAATTTTTGTAGATACTTCCTTCTCCTTTGTTCAGTCCAAACTGTTGATCCTTTACGACAACAACGTCTGGGAGCGGCCGAAGGTCATCCGCATTGGCCTCGTGGTTGATCCCCCGAGTGCCTTAGGCACAGATCAATTCGACATCCCTGAGATGGACGTTTGGATTACCGACGATGGCGATGGTGGAGAGATTCAAATTCCACAGGTCAGCGGTGTGGCCGAAGCACGGCTGAGCGATGAAGGTCTCATGAATTGGACCAATCGGACCTGTGCAATTTGGGCTGAACGGACAAAGGCCAGCAGTGGTCAAAGCAATCTGTGGGTGGAAAAAGTGTCTTGTGCAAAATATCTGCCAGTTATTCGTGAAGAGGCCATCAATAGGAAAGACTACTTCCAAATTCAAGCCACAGAACCAACGGTGTGGAAGGACGGTGAACATGATCGTCGCTGCATTGTGGGGCTTTTGTCACAGGAGGTCGTTCAAGAATTGGTCTTTGGTGACCTCAATGCAGATGGACCCACTTACACAATTTGGGTAAACCCTGATGGAAAGATGGAACGCGATGAGGGGATTTGCTTCAAAGCGACGATGGATGAGAACAGCTCAGCCAGCTTGAGCACGAGCTACTTTGCTTTGATGTTGGAAGATTCAGGTGTGGATGGAGCCGGAAGGGTGCGGTGCAGCAGAGGCCTAAACTGCAGCTTGAATTTGGACAACACCTCCTTTCTACCAGCTCAATATGGCTTTGTTCAATCTGCAGAGTTTGAACAGTGCATCCCATGCGAAGAGCTCAATGATGTTCTAGCCAACGACACTGGAACCGCGGCAATCTTTGTCACATACATGTCCCAGGACAGAACAATTTTCCTGTTTCCCGAAACATCTAGAAGCCAAATCAGTGAAGAAGCGCTTCCTTGAAGAAGCGTGAGCTATCCTGCATCCTAGGTAGTAGCTTAAGTAGCCTACTAGTAGCTACCTTGACCTACCTACCTACCTCGGCCCTCAGGATGGACTCTTGAGAGCTGAGCTGGGCATGTCTTTGAAGCTCTTTGCTCCGGGTGACTACTCCGTTTGTCAATGCTTTGCCGGCACTCGGCAAGTGGCTTCGATGGTCTTGTCCGGTCCAAGGCTCCGGAACAGCGGTTTCTGCGTGATGAGTGCGGAGAAATGTGCCATGGATTTGAGCTTCGTGGAGGCCCGGGGCGAACCCAAAATCGAAAAGAAACCCAACCAAAAGAAAGAACTCTGTGTTTCTTTTGTATATTGGGGGGCGGGTTGGTTGGAACCAGGTGGTGGAGCCAGAGATTGGAAATGATCATTTGAGGATCCTGACAAGTTGCTCTCAGCCCGAGTTGACCTCAGAAGCCTTCGTCATGGGCGCTCATGCCAAATTGACGGCCACGGGCTTTGAGATGGAGGATGCGAATTCGATGCGTAGAGGACGGTCGATTTTTCGATCCTGACGTCATGCCTGAATTCCATGCTTCATGTATCTTCATGTATTGTATGTTTTCATGCATCGTTTCCGTGTTTCTCTTTACATGTTTTCTGTCGAAGTCACGAAGGAGACAACGGCATGTACGAGCTTTGCTGGTGCCGCGAGACAGCGACCCGGCGCTGCAAGCGACCGGATGAGTTTATGGCCAGCGCGGGGATCTTTGTATATGTGGGTCCCAACCGCCAGCCAAGTAGAACAACCTTACTGGGGCATCCCTTGGTAGTGGATGGAGTCTTTGGCACAGGCCTGCACGAGAATGACCGAGCCATGCTTTTGCTGGTGTGCGGCGAGGCTCATCCAACCAGCCAGGTGAATGTGAGTTTCGATGCCAACCGTTCGGCCTTTTCATTCCCAGCGCTTCGAAAAGAGGATGGCTTCCTAGCACTGACCTATCATTTGTGTTGGTGTCAAGGAAAGGTTCAGGAATTCGGTGAGTCAGGGCAATGCAATGGACCTGAAGATTTCAGAGCGGATATGGGACTAGTTCGAGTCGTTTGTCCTGACAGAGAAGTGGATCTCAGCGGAGATGGTCATTGCAAACTGTGCCCCCTGATGATCCAACAGGCTGGTAGTAACAAGTGCATCGCTAGTAGTAACAAGTGCCTTACTAGTAGTAACAAGAAGCTAGTAGTAAGGCACTTGTTACTAGAAGCGATGCACTTGTTCCTAGTAGCTTATTGTTTCTAATTCTAATTCTTGTTCCTAATAGCTTCTTGCTATTAGTAGTAAGGCACTTGTTACTACAAACTGTGCCCCCTGATGATCCAACAGGCTGGAGGCAAAGATGGGATGCAGTGCGTCATCAGTGGTGATCGATTCTTTTGGGCTTCTTTCTGGTTTGTGATGCTCACCTTGTTCTTCCTGCTGCTCTGTGGGAGCTTAAGGTGTTCGATCCGTGCCCGGAGCTTGAATGGAATGCCTCGAAAGATCGAAGACATCACAAAGATGCGGGGTAAACTCGTGATCACCACCACTGGACTCCACAACTTCATGACCATGTCCGACCGCCCCATCCCTGTGACTCTATGGGGGACAGGGCATTACTTGTTGGATTCCAGGCCGGGAAAACTCATTCACCTTTACGTGATCCCATCGAGCAACATCACCATGGAAGTCGTCCAAGAATCCGGTGAGCCTGTCGAGTTCAACGCCGACAGTTCCATGGGGAGCATCCAGGCACACCGCACACCCGCATACAAGACACATGTGGGCCACGGATAGTGCGAATATGTGCGAATATGTGCGAATGCTGCCTTTCATGAGGACGCTACTAGGGGCTCCTGGCCTTACTACTAGGAGCAAGTGCCTTACTAGTAGTAACAAGAAGCTAGTAGAAACAAGTGCCTTACTAGTAGTAACAAAAACAATTTGATTAGAATTGTAATTCCTAGCACAGGAATCCACTAGGACCTTTCGCGCGCGCGCGCGCGCGCGCGCGGGGGGGGGTAGGAGCAAGGACGCTACTAGGGGCTCCTGGCATCACCACTAGGAGCAAGAAGCTACTAGGGGCTCCTGGCCGTACTACTAGGAGCAAGGACGCTACTAGGTGAGGATGATTCCATAGTGCCGAGAAGAATGCTGCCTTTCATGAGGAGAACCTGAACTAAAACTTGTCAAGGCCAACTTGAGCCACATCGATCGGAATCAGAACCGACTCGGTTTCTGGTGCTTCTGATTCCGGTCAATTGGATTTGTGGATCTTTCAAACGACCATACACTTAGATGATTTGTCATGTCCTTTTCCCATGCCGATTTAACAGTTTTTTCCACATGCACTGCAAACGAAAGCACTGCCAAAAATAGCTTCAATTGCTACAGCTCGGCCCTCGTGTTCTGGCCTTGACTTGATATAGGGGTTCCGTTGAGAGAGTGTTTATGTTTGTGCTGATTCCATGCAGAACGCACTTGACGCATACAAACCCTTCAAACAAATTTGGATCTTGGTTTTTCTTTTTGCGCACTGTTGTCTGAACATATTTTTTTGGCCTTGTGCTTCATGGGAGGTCTCTTTCTTCCGGACTTTGCTTCACACCACCTTTCCGAAGATCAAATTCCCGCTGATATGCCAACTGCTCTTGTTGATCTTGGGCACCATCGCACCTCGATTTTTTCTTGAGCCAGGGCTGGTAGAGATGGCTTTCATGGCTTCCACTTCACTGTGCCTGGCCCTCTTGTTCTTAGTGCTTTGGAAATTAGTGATTCGATCCAGGACCACTTTGAATTTGAAGTTGCAGACCTATGAACATATCCGACGTGAAGATGGACACCGAAAGACCAAGGAGGTCATGAGAGGGCCTAGTCGTGGGATTCGAGTGTGGAAGATTTTGGATCTCTACGAACACTTCCAAGCCTTGATCCGGGATCGAAACATGTACTACTTGGATCCAAACATCATCCGTCCTTTGACTGCCTCGGTGAGACTGTCATTCTCAGAGCTAGTGGGCCCAGATCAGGCTGGCATGACTGTGGTTGAGCGAGGTTCACGCTGGTGTGGGAGATCACGAAAGCTAGTTAGCAGGCATTAGCTAGCTGTGTTTGTTCTTGCTGCAGCAAAGCCAAGGGGCCCTAGCTTTCGTCTATGGGGCTTATGTTGAAGTTGTGATAGGTTTTCTCATTGTTCTTCCCAATTCCCACGTTGAGGTGGAATGGTTTGTGTCGCACTGGTGGGGCACTCCTGTGGCTGTCTACTGTGATGCCTTGAAACGTCACGCTTCAGAGGTGAAAGCCAAGGAGACGAGTTCCCGCCCTATCAATTCGATGGCACGAGGGCAGAGCCAATTGGACGCCAAAGACTCCAAAGACAGCAGTTGGGAGAACACCACCTACTGGATTTGCACCTTTTCCAACAATCAATACAAAATCCGCGAGGAGTTGGGAGAGGTACATACCGAGTCCTCTTTCTACTTGGCTTTGCATTCTGAGGGCCTCAGGGGTACTTGCATGCTCTTGGACGAGATGGCCATGCCCTTGAAAAGGTCTTGGTGCTTGTTCGAGCTACTGCAGACCATTGAGCTTGAGGAGAAGGCGCAGATGGAAGCCTTTTTGCGTGCCTTTTCGGGACTGCTTTTTTGCACTTCCAATGGGGTCTTGAACTATGGCTCCTCAACGGTGGAGATGTCCATGATGATCGGCGAACGGCTCTTGGGCCTCAGCTTGAGGGACGCCGAAGCTACCACCGAGAAGGACAAAAAGATGATTGCAGATCTCGTTCAGGAGACGACCGTGAAGAGAAAAAACAGGTTTGGTTGGAGACTGTGTAGGTGGAGATCGCTATTTGGTTGGAGGCCATCGCTAGTAGGTTGTGGTGTGTGGTGGAGTGCGTGTGTGGAGTGCGGGTTATGTGGGTTGAAGTTTATTATCCTTAGGAGAGGATTTTTTCTGCAGAGTCACTGATGGCTCTAGGTCGGTTGGGTCAGACTCACCAACTTCCTGCAGGAGAGCAGGGGGAGCTTTGATGAAATCGACCTCGTTCTCAGGGTTCACATCCGAGATGCTTTGAAGGCTTGTCAGAAACAGGTCAACTTTGATTTTGGCTCTCTATTCGAGAGGCTTCCTCGAGACGAAAAAGCCGAAGATAGAGCAGATACAAACTTACGAGCAGCAATTGCGGAGGACGAGGGTACGACCCTAGTGCTGTAGACAGCTAAAGTCTACTTAGTAGCGTCATGTCGAAGACTTGGACGACAACATCGGGTATCACGGTATCATACCATCTCCATTTTTCGATGCCCACGGATGGCATCCATGCCCTTTTTGATCCTTTTGTCCCTAAAGGGGATTTATTGGCAAGCTGATGACATCGATATGTCCAATCCTTTGACTCAAGTCACGAGTCCGGTGAAAAGAGGAACGGAAGGTTGGCAGACTGGCGCAGTGCTGATAGACTGGCGCAGACAAGACGGCTTTGCTCGATGGTGCACTGGCAGGTCTTACGCTCTGAAGAGTCAGCCGAATACCAGGCCAGAAACCCAACCGACCAGATCCTCGCTGACTGTGACCCTTTTGGATTGCATGGGAGCAAGGACGCTACTAGGGGCTCCTGGCCTTACTAGGAGCAAGTAGCTACTAGGAGCTTTTTTGCATGTTTTGGCATGTTTCTTTTTGGCTCAAGAATTCTGAACAGATCGCCCCGCTGGCTCCCCTCTTGAGGCGCTTCGAAAGCGGCTGGATGCAGTGGAGGCCTTGCGCGCCGAAGAGGCAGCAGAGCAGGAGGTTCGAAGCCCAGTAGGTGACAAGTCGTTGATCTTGGCCGAAGGCTACAGTGGTGTGAAATCAGCAAACCACGGTTTCCTATTGGAGGCCATTGCATTTAGGTTGGAGGCCATCGCTTTCTTACCTATCTTCATTTGCATACTTTCCCGTTTGGCCTTGAAAGTTGAGGCTTTGGAGCAGCGGCTGGAAGCGGTGGAGGTGACCACCAAAGCGGCTGAAACGAAACGATTGGTAGCTTTATGGTGCTTGGGAGTGAGGCTTTGCTTCGAGTCCTGAAGTCGGTTCAGTCAAAAGATGTCCCAACCTCAGCAAAAGAAAAATGAGATGAGACGGATTAGAATGAGGAAAAGACAAAGCAATGGAGAAAGAAGAAGAGGGCACAAGGCTACGCAAGGCCTGCACTATTTTGAGCCATTGAGGTGAAGGAGGCGGCAGATGCTGCAGCCTCCAAGGCAGATGCCTCTGTGGTCAAGCATGCCGCCACTGCGTGCACTTTTTTGTTCTGTCGGGTGATGTTTTAGCCAGGCCGCTGCCCGGGCGGCCAACAAGACTAGGCTCAAGGCAGGAGAGCCTGGCGATTGATTTCTGGAGGGAGGGTGTATTTATTTGGGAATTCGGAATTACACTATTTTTTAGACTTTGTTAATAGTTTTTGTTTTGATAGCTTTTGCCTTTTGCGGGCTTGTGGCTTTTGGTGGCTTTTGGCTTTTGCTGGCTTTTGTTGGCTTTTGGTGGTTTCTGTTGACTTTTGGTGGCTTTCGGTTGGCTTTTGGTGGCTTGTGTTGGCCTTTGGCTTGTGTTGACTGGCGTTTCGTGGCTTTGGTTGGCTTGGGCTTTTTTACTGTTGCACGGAACGTGGTATACCCAAGATATATCAAGATATGATAGTTATTCTCTTCTATTGTATCCTGGTCACTACACCTAACGACTAAAGAATCCAAGAGTTGGCAACGATCGTGCTTGCATTGGTCGTGGCTTCGGCCACCCCCGGCTGACCATTTCAACCTTTGTTCTGCTGTGATGGGTGGATGTTACTCACTAGCCACTAGTCACTACTAGGTACTAGCGTTAAGTCGACTCAGCTTGTGTAAAGTCGACCCGAAACGTGTGCCCTTGCAGAACTGCACTCCACAGGGATGTCTAAGCATAGATTGTATTGATCTATAACACATGTTTTGTGTTGTGCCCATGGTGTGCCCATGAGTCGACTTCACGCGAGTGGGTTGACTTCTCGCTGGAACCTTGCGCCTATGCGGTGAGTTGACTTCACGCGACGTGGGTTGACTTAAGTACGCCGCTTGTAGTCCATCATCAAAGGAATGTGAAGTCCCAGGCGCAGCTGCCAGATGTAAGAAGGTATAGGTTTTTTCCAGATGATTGCAACCTTGTCCCTCTTCCTTTTCCCTTTCCTTTTCCTTGCCCTTTGCTTGTCCTTTTTCTTTTTCCATTTCCCTTTCCTCTATAAAACAGCAGCCAAGAGCAAGAAAACACATATTACCAGATTACATACACTAATTCCAAAAAATAATCCGAACCCTTTCTGGAGGGCAACAACCAATGTGGTTGTTTTTGCACCAGTTGAATCACCAGCGTTCTGTGATTTCCGGCGGCTACTGTAGCCAGTTGTATGTTGTTCTTTAGACAGCCCCACGCGCTGGAATGTTGAACTTCACTTTGGAACATCGGCTTTTGATACCTTGGAGCTGTGAAGGGTCTTGTTGCCAACATTGAAAACACGCGACATGATATGCTTGTGTGGTATGCTCAGAGTGGTATACAGCCCGTACCAAAAATCAACTCACAGTTGGGTGTTTTGAAAAACGCATCTGGGCATTGTGTATTCAGATTCTCCTTGCGGTGAGCTCTGAACGATAGCAAGAACCCAAACAGCCAGCCAGGTGAAGAGATTTGCCAAAGCTCACGTTCTGCACTTGGGTTTCAGCATTTGTCAGCAGCATGTGGTGGACGTTTGAGATGCTAAGGCGGTGTCCTGGCGTGAGGACCACAAGTTGGGGGCACCTACATTGCTATAAGCATTCTTTTCGTAAGAGCCGAGATGATTGACACAATGCAAGCCTGCGTAGACCCTCACAAACCCGTGCAAACCCGCGGAACGAAATTCAGGCACACATCCCGTCGTACTGCTTCACTTCATGAGAGGGACGGCATTTGAGGGTTGATCTTGAATTCAAGATTCTTCAAGATTCCGTCGAGGCCATCGCTATTTAGGTTGGAGGCCATCGCTAGTAGGTTGGAGGCCATTGCTCTTAGGTTGGAGGCCATTGCTATTCGGTTGGAGGCCATCGCTAGTAGGCTGGAGGCCATCGCTAGTAGGTTGAAGGCCATCGCTAGTAGGTTGGAGGTCATTTCTAGTAGGTAGGAGGCCATTGCTAGTGGGTTGAAGGCCATCGCTCTTTGGTTGGAGGGCATCACTAGTAGGTTGGAGGCTATCGCTAGTAGGGTGGAGGCCATCGCTTCTAATTTAGAGTCCATCGTTCTTAGGGTGGAGGCCATCGCTAGTAGGTTCCTGAATTTTCGCATTTTAAATCAGGGTTTACCATCTATTTTTTGACAATGAGGTGTGGACATCAAGGCCTCCTGCCTAATGGAGAGCCTGCACAGCAGCACTGACACATTTGGAGTTTTTTGAGAGTTGAGAGATGGGACAAATAGAGCTTAGCTGAGCTGCCTAGCCTTTTTTCAACGACTTTGGACTCACATTCAGGAAGGACTGCCAGTCATGTTCAGATTTAGCCAGGTTCCCTTTTGGTTAACCCGTGCTCCTGTTCCCAGCTGTGCAAGTAGGCAAGACACCAGCAGGGAGGTTCGAATTTATGGGTGAACGTGGCAATTCGTCAAGTCCGACGAACGAGTAGCATCAGTCGGGTTGAAGGATAGACCTGCCAGGTGCAACCCGAAAAGTGATGCTCCGTGCTGCTCTCCTGGTGGCTGGTTCGTGTCTCAGGCACATCCAAACATGCGGCATCTCTCACATAGAGCGCAGATGGGGGATTCTTCTGCATATCCATAGGTGCTCAAGTGATATCTACAATGCACCACCCCGATAATGCCCTTGCTTGTCGGGAACAAGCTGCCCTAGAAGCAAGTCCTCGGGTTCATTCAAGAGGAGCAAGCACCACAGCGTTCCTGACTACAGAGTCCTTGATGCTGTGCACGCTGTGTGCCACAATTGCCTTCACTATTCTGCTAGAGTTAGAGGCAACAGGTTTGCTGCTCGTAGTCGGTTCCAGGCCATCGCCAGTAGGGTGCAGGCCATCGCTAGTAGGTTGGAGGCCATCGCTAGTAGGTTGGAGGCCATTGCTAGTAGGTTGGAGACCATCGCTATCAGGTTGGAGTAGTATTGGAGGCCATTGCTATTAGGTTGGAGGCCATCGTTATTAGGTTGGAGGCCATCGCTAGTAGGCTGGAGGCCATTGCTATTAGGTTGGAGGCCATCGTTAGTAGGTTGGAGGCCATCGCTAGCAGGTTGGAGGCCATCGCTAGTAGGTTGGAGGCCATTGCTATTAGGTTGGAGGCCATTGCTATTAGGTTGGAGGCCATCGCTAGTAGGTTGGAGGCCATCGCTAGTAGGTTGGAGGCCATTGCTATTAGGTTGGAGGCCATTGCTATTAGGTTGGAGGCCATGGCTATTAGGTTCCTTAAGTTACTTTTTCTATAAGGGTACTGTTTCCATAACAAGCTAGGAGCCACATCATTAGCGCGAGCTATCCTGCGTCCATACTAGTAGCTTAAGTAAGCTACTAGCTACCTCTAGCTACTAGCGGCCTACCCGCTTTAAAGAAGAGGAAAACACTGGTTAAGGTGCGGGGGCTCAGCTGATCACTGCCGGCCACCTAGCTTCGCTTAGCTTGCTTGCTGTGTGTAGAGGCCCGCAGGTTATGTTGAAGTGTTCTTGTCAGCAATCGCATTACCTCATTTTCAGTAGGTGCTGGCGGTTTGAAAGGTTGCCTGGTACTTTTGTAGCGTTTTTGCATGTTTGACGAGTTTTAGTTATGTTACGCTGATGCTTCGGGAAATTTCGGTGCTTCCGGAACCAGGCTGGGGTTAGAGGTTATTTATATACGTTCGTTGTGCTTGCAACGAAGATGCTGTTGTCTCGTGAATAAGTTTGTTTCAAGGACGTGATTACCGCCACACATACAAAGCAATGTCACGGTTTGATGCGCTGTCCGACCCATCCTCCCAAAGGAGGTATATAGCTACCGGCGGGAAGTAAAGATAAGTTTTCACGAACATATGTGTTTCACTGTCGCAAATAGTAGCACATGCCTTCTCAACGCCAGCAAAGCAACCAGGCAACCTATCAAACTGTGAGCCAATAGTCGCCAGCCCACAGTGACGTAGTTCAGTCCAAGACCTCATGTGAGCATAGAAGCATGGGGGAGTAAAGAAGGTGCATTTGGCCGGAAGCGTGGGATAGTAGCATGGGCAAGCGCATATGCGCATTTGTCCTCATTGCGACTTGGTTCTATTGAATGCTTCCTTGGGAATCGTCTCACCTGTAGTGCCAAGAAGCTACTAGTAACAAGGGCATCGTGGCATCACTATTAATTTTGCGACTAGTAACAATAATGCTACCAGGAGCCCGAGCATCGCTACTAGGAGCAAGGACGCTACTAGGGGCTCCTGGCCGTACTACTAGGAACAAGAATGCCAAGACAACTGATGCTACAGTGTTCTTTGGTCGTTTTGAAAGGGGAAGGGCATTGCTGGTTTGGCTTCGCCATTTCGGCGCGGCTTATGCAGGCAGACAAGCTTCTATTTACTAGAAAGCTTTACTAGAAAGGAGCTTCAAAGACCTAAAAGGTTGAAACGATTCGTCTTTGAAGGATTCTTACTTACCTTTCTCGCACATTTGCCGAAAAGGAATGCATCTTCATTTCCACGGCCATGGCGCTGCCGACATGTCAATGTGATGTTTGCCCAACATCACCTACCGATCAGCGGGCTCGCTATCAGGAACACCCCCCCCTTCCCCTCACAAACATTATTAATTACTAGTAACAAGGGGCATTTCTACTAGTAGCAAGGACGCTACTTGTGGCTCCTGGCATTACTGCTAGTAACAAGAAGCTCCTAGTCCTACGGCCGGGTCGGCGGACTAGAGGACATTTCAATAAAGAGAACCGCCCTCATGAAGAGCGAGGACACAGTAGACAAGTGCACTAAGGAAAGGCCTTGGTGAAAACAAGGGCGGTTTGTTCAGAGGAAGGCTTTCACCAGGACAGCTTTTGTGTAAAGAAATGCACTTTCTTGTCAAATCCGGGTGACAAATGTCGATAGAATGGGAGCTCTTTCAACAGGTCGCTTTATGAAAGAACCATTTTGAACACCGTTTTTGGTAGTGCTTTTTGTCAAAGAAGGGGCTGTGAGAAATAAACTTTTTGTGGCTCTTGGACATGGCCTTGATAAATGAGGATGTGGACATCACCAAGACCAGCCGTTGCATGATCAGTCAAGATTAAGACTACTACATACATCGAAGCACACACACAAAATTTTGGAGCCTACTTTTGTTTTTGGAGTAGTCTCTGAGTAGTCTGTTTCTTTGGCGTGCGCTGTGATGCAATGAACGGCCTGCTGAAAGTGGAGAGCCCGTAGCAACGAACCGATATTAGAGCTAAGAAAGTTTGAGCAGAAACAACAGGTTCACAAGAGGCCTTTGTGAAAAGCATTGCCAAGCCTCTTCCAACTATGAAGCGCACAAAAATCACTTGTTATACTCAAACATTTCCAGTGATTCTCACAGGTTGGTGAAGGGGTGCACAAATGCCGAAGATTGCCGAAGATTGCCAAAGTGGAGATTCCAAATCTGAACATGTCGACACATTCGAGGCAGCTGTAGCACCTGCATCGACTACCGGATCACAGCCGCCGCTCCAGCAGAACCGTGCCATAGAAGAAAGACATGTTTTCTGTTGAACATGTAGCAAGAAGCTACTAGTAACAAAGGGCATCGCTACTAGGAGCAAGAAGCTACTAGTAACAAAGGGCATCGCTACTGCCGCTACTAGGAGCAAGAAGCTACTAGTAACGAAGGGCATCGCTACTAGGAGCAAGAAGCTGCTAGGAGCAAAGGGCATCGCTACTAGGAGCAAGGACGCTACTAGTAGCTCCTGGCCATACTACTAGGAACAAGAAGCTTGTTTATGCCCTTTCTGAGTCCGAAGAGGAGGTGCTATGGTCTTCAGCGAAAGGGGCCTGGAGTCGGGGCAAAGACTTTCTCTTTCCCTTCCAATCATCACTTTGCTACTAGTAGCGTTCTTGTTGCCGGTAGTAAGGCCAGGAGCCCCTAGTAGCGTCCTTGCTCCTAGTAGCGATGCCCCTTGCTACTAGTAGCGTTCTTTAATCATGAATCGCCTCAAGCAGGTACAACTTGGAAGCACCGAAGCGGATTGCCATAGTAGCTGGGATCTCAACGATTTGCACGGAAGCCGCCAGTGTTTCTCCTGATGTGTTCCTTGGGAACACAACCCAAACCTTCTCAATGCTTTGAACAGGAAGAAGTCTAGAGGCTTCAAGCCTGGTGGTTTGATTCCTCCCTATGGTGTCATAGCCCGGAAGTCAGTAGTAGGGGGAAGGCGAGGATGAGGAGGGAAGACGGGAGTCATTGGAAGAAACCATAGTCAGAGGCGCAGGACGTGGACTCTGAAACTCCTTGATCCATGCGAAATGGTATTGCAAGACAGATGCGGAGGAGACAGTTGGACTTACAATTTCTATCAACATCCAACTTGCATGTTCCAGGTCGCCCCCAGGTCTTGGATGTAAACATAACATGGTTTCAAAGGCCACCTCAAAGTTGTGGAGGTCAAACTTGCACTGCCAAAACTGTGATCGTGTAACATGAGGCATGCAGGCTCTCTCTGCCGCCTCAATAGGTTGAATTCGGTGTATGGCCGTGTTCGGCTTTCGCAACTTGTGGTTTTCATTGGAAGGACGTCTCACTGTTCTCGAAGTATTGGAAGCTTTAAACTCCCAGGCCAGGCTGTGTGAAAGTTCCTACTGCCCACAACTGAATAGGGAAAGTAATGATGTGGACATACAGGTGTAACAAGGCCCACTTGGACGAAGATCAGTCAGGACAGACTTTAAGTAGAACACATTATAAGGGCATGCCAGGCTATACTGAGGTTCGAACACCACTGGTGGAATGCAGTCCATGAATAGATTTGCCAGAAGAAGGACAGATGACAGGTGGCTCCATTCATTTGCAAAAGTGTCACGTGTGCACAAATCACGTTGTGTACCTGCAGACCCTTGTAGGGTTCGCAAAACTATTCGCATGAAGTGGTGGGGAAAGTATTGCCGTCCATTCGCTAAGGTGAGTAACATGGGGGTCAGTTCTTGTACTGAATCCTTTGGCAGTGTGGGTGGTTTGGTTTCACCTCCTTTTGGGCTCGATCAGGTGCCTTTTCGAGATCGAGGGGCCCATTTGGAAAAGTTCCGTGAGCGGATCCAGTCGCCCGGTGTCCCAGAACAAAGGCCATCCTCAGGGCCTTGGGCCGCCACGCCTCCCCTTTTGGGGTTAGCGTTGACAGATGGTGACATGGAGTGAGCTGGGCTTGCGAGGATGTTTTGCTGTCATAGGTATACGATATGATCAGGTTGCTGGTGCAGCTGTGGCTTTAATTTGAGCAGTTTTTGAGGCACATCTCTGCTTGGATCAAGTCCAACTCCCAGCCACCGGCCGTCTGAACAAGAAATGCATCGGCTTTTCAATCGTCATCGATTTGCCAAGGAAAGGCATAAATCATAGTTGGAAAGTCTTCGTGGTGGAGCAGTTTGATGAACAACTCTTCAATCGCCGAAATCTGAAGACCTCGAGGGACATTGACGCGAATGAGCGCGTACAAGCGCTTTGTGAGGTGGCTACCTTTTCAACGTTGGCTTTCAGTTTGCAAGCTCGGAGGAGAACACGTTGGGCAAGTTCGATTGCGTTCCTCGACCGCAAATTGGAGCTTCGAACATGTGCTCCTAGTAGCTTCTTGCTCCTAGTGGCGATGCCAGGAGCCCCTAGTAGCGTCCTTGCTCCTAGTAGTAATGCCAGGAGCCCCTAGTAGCTTCTTGCTAGGGTGTGGACGGTAAAGGGCACAAGTGAAACACTTCGCTTGTTCAGTTGGTGTTGCGCACGGGCAGCATTCAGTCCCGTGGATCTGTGGATTAACAACGATGCAACTTGATGCAACCCATTTCTGCGGTAGCTACGGCTACGTCCAAAAGAGTCCCATGGGAAGCCCTTTCATGTCCTCGCCAAGGTGGTTATGCACGACATTGACATTTTGCCGTTTCCTTGACCAACGCTCACACTTTTGCATGTGAAACCGAAGAAAGGAAGTTCACAAGCCTGAATGTTCAGGCCGACACCAGTGGTGGACTATGGATGGTGCATTTATCCAAATCAGCTCTCCGGGGAGATTGAGCCTTTGACCCAGCGATGTTTGCAGACCCGATGGGGGGAAGCGTTCGGAGTTTGAGGTGTTGGGGCTGGGGTGTGCCGTATCCAGACAATGTGCCGGTCTCGGAACAGCAGGTGATGTTTACAAAACTATTTTCAGTGCTTGCTGTGTGAGGTGGGGGGAGTCGTCTCTATGAGTGGCGTCCCTAGATGGGTACCATATGGTACCATACGAGCCGCATGAACTCAGCTTCTTGCTGCTTGCTACTAGTAGCGTCCTTGCTACTAGTACCGATGGCCTCCACCCTAATAGCGATGGCCTCCAGCGAGTTTTTCATTTTCGTTTTTTGTTCCGTCGCCGGTCCTTTTCCTCAGCCACGCTCTGAGAGGTCCAACACACTGGCGGGGCATCAACGGCTTTTCTAACGAGTACGACGGCTGGGGTGGTGAGGACCGGTGACTGGAGAGACCTCAGCAAGCCAATCGAGAGAAGAAAGACAATTAGAGAACAAGAGGCACAAGCAATCCAAGCAAGAAGGAGGACAATTGAAATGCCATTGGTGTGACACGTGGGTGGGCAATGATTATTCCTACGGTTGCCCTAATTATATACAGTGTTTGTTTGACCTTTTCCAACTCCAATTGGTGAACTTTTCCTGTTGATTTTTCGCATATTTTGCCAATGGAATGGTCACCTGGTGAACCAGGATGATGACCTCTACCTCCGTTTGAAGTGCAGATTCTCAGAGACGATTTGCAGAAGCATGAAGCTTGAGTTGCTCAGTGTGGTGTACATAGCGTGCTCGCTGACTGGTGTGCTCGTACTGACTTGTGGGATTCAAGTTGATTCAGGCAGAACAGCCTGCTGAAGGGTGGATGCCACACCTGGTGCAAGGCGGAGCGGCGAAGCGAAAGATGTGAGGTCTTTGCTGGTGCTTGCTGGTCAGGACCGCAACAAGCCGACCGTTCCGATGGTGCGACGACCGCCAGACTCTTGAATTTTCGAGAAGCATCATGAGTTCCATGTGTTTCCAATGCAGATTTAGTTGTGGTTCTTCTAGGGTGAGGCTTGCATATATTCTTGCTAAGGAATTCTCAAGAAAGATTTGAGGTTGAGTGTGGGAGGTGCTAATGCTTTCCTTCGGGAGAGCTAAGCAACAACAGGATTAAATTCTTCTACAGTTGCTGCGTTGCCTTGTTCGTGGCCTCGCCCCTATTGCCCCAAGATCAGGCAGACAGGGATAGGTCCAGCAACCTCAAATATTTGGAATAGCCCTCACCATACTGCCACTGAGCCTCACTTGCTCAGCTTTCGACAGCGATGTGCGCTGAACTTCAAGCAAGGGGACGACTGATGAAAGTTAATTGACATGGACGGGTGCTACTCCTGCGCTTGACAAGGTCAAACATAGTTTCTGTCTCTTTCTTGGGGGGGCTAATGTGGTTTCTTGAGTCAGGAAGGTCCGAAACTATGAAATGTCAGATGATGAATCAGCAAAGCGCCAGACTCTTTTCTTCAGCCATGCGACCTACAACATGACCCTTTGTTGATGAGAAATCCATGATGGTGTTACGCATGCGGTGCTAGCGCTCGCCATGTCGTTCGAATGGTCCATACGGGAAAGCAGGCAGAGGGTTTAGTTTGTTTACCTTGTGCGCTCAGGAGAGTCTCTCAGAAGGGACCTGACTTTGTTGCCAGGTAAAGGCACTGAAGGTCTCAAGAGCAGGTGACCTGCTGCAGGTCGCCCGCCATGCTGGCCTCTTGGTCCTGCTGTTTCTCGCGCCTGGGGTGGCAGCGGTCACATTGGACGGTGATTTGGTCGCAGTCATCTGTCAAATTCTCAGGCGACTAGAAGGTACTTTGCAGCTTTCGCCTGCAGTTGTATTTCTAGGTTTTCAAAAATCTTGTACCCAGCTGGTTGAGTGTGAGACAAAGACACTTTGGATGCGACAGCCTCCTTCTAAACCTCTCTCTCTCTCGCTCTCTGAAGATGTGTGCCGTGCTTGACAATTTGGATCGATAGCTCAATGGGGTTTCGATTTCAGGACTCCTATATACAGTTAGTTAGTCTTTTTTCGTTTGTCATGTGCCATGTGCAAACGAAGGAACGCTGGCTCTTGTCCTCTTGGCCACCAGCAGCTTGACCGAAGATTTCGGGCTTTGCGTGACCAGAGATGGTGAGACAAGGGATTTTTGTGAAGGAAAGCTGACCTCCAATGTGTTTGCATGAATGTTCTTGCGCTTCCAGTTTGCAATGGCGGTTGTTGCGGCCTTGAAGTGCTGGGAATGCCTCAAAGCCACGATTGCATATCGAGGCTTCATCGCCACGGCCTGCGAGATATGCCGCCAGAGGACCGTGTGCCGGACAGTCACGTCGTAACGCACGGCGGTACACAGGATGCATCACAAGCAGAAGAAGCGCTCCAATTTTCGCTCCGGGTAGGAAGTGTTGCCTCCAACGTCTTCCATTTCCAATCTTCCTTATGCTGGTCTACGTTGCGTGGCTGTGTGAAGTTGTTTGCATTTAGATTTGGACAAGCTGTGCCAGGTGTCACGAGACATTGCCATTTCCCATTTGAGGCCTTGCAGATCTTGAGCTGCTTGCTGGAGTTTCATAGCAGACTCAATCACCCCAATGTGCCTCTTCCAGATGTGGGGGGCTCAGGGTGGCCACCCACCAACTCGTATGACCAAAGCGGAAACAATTGAAAGCTATGATGTGTACAAGTGAGATTGGCCAAGAAAGGCAACGTTTTATGAACTTGTTTAATTGTTTCTTAACTCGTTGTGGTTACAGTTACTGGTTTGTCGTGAGCTTGCTTTGGACCGTCTGAGGCTTCGATGTCAATAGCCACTTGGCGGACTTGGCTAGGGCTTAGCCATGCTTAGCCACGGACAGTGGCTCTTGTATGCAAACTGCAGCAAAAACAATCCTCAAGCACCAACGCACAACTAGATGTTTGTACGTAAGTGGGGCCATTGACGTTTGATATTTTTCATGGCTGCAGGACCAAGACGCAACCTCCCTTTTTGTTTCCCTCTTCCTTTTGGAAGCAAGGTCATGGCTGCCCACAACGAGCACAAGTGCCTTGGCCACCAAGTAGCCAAGCCGAAGGATTGGCCAATCAAGCCAACTCTTAAGAGCATGGCGATTTGGAGATCAACACGGCGATTCGTCTCCATCTTTCCAATTTCGAGCGATCGAGCTCGTGGCGGGGAAGCACCAGAGTGAAAGAAAACGAAAGCAACGCACAACCGACTTCCATGCGGAGACTAAGCACTTCTTCCATGGCCCACCTTCGAAAAGAACGTTCAAGTTTTCATCAGGGCTTTGCCCATGTTTGCCCATACTTGCCAACTGCACGTGAGCTTCCGCTCTCTGGATTTCACTCACATTCCAACAGCTGAGGTTCCTGCAGCGGACGTTTGAGACTTGGGACCGTTGGTCAGTGCTTTCCCTTTGGTTTTGTTTGTTTCACGTCTTGTGAAAGCGGCACGACGTTTGTATGAATCAGCAGAAACTTAGGGCTGAACATGGTGCCATGATTTGCCATGCAAGACGCACTTCCTTTTCTTTTTTTGTTTCCAATAGCAATGGCCTCCAACCTAGGCCCTAGTAGCGATGGCTTCCATCCTAGAAACTTGGCAAATCAATTGCTTCTCTCTGAGGTTGGACTCAATTGTGCAAAGCACACCGAAGGAAGTTCTTGTGGAGATCATCCTGGTGCGACTCTATGAGATGATACGATCGACTCGGTAGACTCTGCTACAAGTAGCCTCCTTGCTCCTAGTAGTAAGGCCAGGAACCCCTAGTAGCATCCTTGCTTCTAGTAGCGATGCCGGCGATGCCCTTTGCTACTAGTAGCATTCTTGTTCCTAGTAGTATGGCCAGGAACTACTAGTCGCTTCTTGCTCCTAGTAGCGATGCCGTTTGTTCCTAGGAGCTTCTTGCTCCTAGTCGCATCTTTTAAACTCTGCTTTGAAGCTTGAGCTTTAGGTGGATGATGGCAGCGAACCTCCACTCTCCCCCCTTGTGGAAGGCTACACTTTGGTGAAAGTGTCTCAGGCCCCAGTGTTTGTGATAAACATGGGCGCTGTTTGGCGGAGATGACAGCAGTTTGCGAGCTGCCGAGGTTGAGACATGAGCTTCGGAGGGGTCTCATCAAATCTAAAACAGAAGGTGGTAACTTGGCAGTTGGCGATGCTTGGATGGAGAACAGATGCAGGAACTTGACAGATTTACTGTGCAAGTTGTGGGGGTCTGGTGTTAAATATCTTTGTTTCATTGGACAATTCATGATTTCCACACAAGCTATCCAGCAAGCTGAGGAAGTCCTCATGTTCTTGGATGCGCATGTCCGCCCTGCTCCAGGTCACAAACAGTGCATATCCTCCAACCTAATAGCAAACTATATTAACCTGACCTTTCTTTTCTTTTCTCTTTGTTTCTACTAGCAATGGCCTCCAACCTAATAGTGATGGCCTCCAACCTAGAAGGCTATCTCTCGCTCTGTGACTTGTGTTTGCCCATTTGGGCTTTGTCTGCCAGATTGGTATCGCCCCCTCTTGAAGCATATCAAACTCAACTACAAGCGCGCCTAGCCACTGATGGGCTCGGCCGAGGTGTACGATAACAGTGCGAAGGGGTTCCAGCAAGTTGGAGCCCCTAGTAGCGTCCTTGCTCCTGGTAACGATGCCCTTTGCTACTAGTAGCATTCTTGTTCCTAGTAGTATGGCCAGGAGCTACTAGTAGCTTCTTGCTCCTGGTAACGATGCCCTTGGCTACTAGTAGCATTCTTGTTCTTGCAACTGGTAACGATGCCCTTTGCTACTAGTAGCTTTCTTGTTCCTAGTAGTATGACCAGGAGCTACTAGTAGCTTCTTGCTCCTGGTAACGATGCCCTTTGC